AGTGTTTCTAACAACTCCCTAAAGAGGAACTTTTTTGTTTGTTTATTGAGACAGGGTCCTGGCTGTCTTGGAACTCAAATACGCACCTGCCTCTGATTCCGGAAAGCTTTGATTAAAGGCGTGTGCCACCACGCCCCCGATCCTCCCCCATCCCAAAAAAAAAGCCAGCATTTCGTTAGGGGCTAATCTCTAGCAAAAGGGGACATATTGCTCCTGGTGCCTGTTAGCATATCAAGACCTTTGTTGGCCTCCAGGTTCCCTCAGTCCGTACTCAGAAGCACGGATTACATTACAGAATTACCCTGGCTGGCATACCCTGTCCCCTACCCCTCTCCAGCCCAGGGGCTTCGCTTCCCTTCCCCCAGCTTCTGATTCCTATATATAACCCTGCCATTTTGACCATAGCTCTCTTGGTTCCCTTTGCCCTCTTGGCCCTCTCATGTCTCCTCCCCTCCTCTCCCTCCCCCTCCCATTCTTTCCTCCCCCCTCCCTCTTTGCTCCTCTTCCTCTCTCTCCTGGCCAGGTTCAGTCTAGTATTTTTCTCCTGCTCTGAACTCTTCCAGATTCCTCTAGCTGCTCTCTTCCTCAAAGCTACAAAAAAAAAAAAAAAAAAAAAAAAAAAAAAGCCTTCTCAACCATACCTTGGAGTGGTCATGGTTTCATTTTCATTCAATTTACTTTTGTTCCCATTTTAAGGACTAGAAAATAGAAATATGAAGGTTGCTTAGCCCATCACCAGGAAGGTTTCCCCCTACACACTCCTTACTGAGGAATGCACAACAGGAGATTAAAGGACCCTCCCTTCTGCAGTCCTTTTGAGGCCCTCTCTGAAATAATGGCTTTTCATATTTCTAATCCTAAAATCAATAATTCAACTTCTCCAAAGCAGGGGGAGGATAAAAATGACTTGGAAGACTTTGTTTCCTTGTTTCCTCATTCTTGTTTTGAGATCAGGTCTTACTGTGTATTACTGGCTGGTGTGGCACTCACCATATAGATGAGGCTGGCCTCAAATGTGTGATGACCCTCCTGCCTCTTGGACTGTTCTGTTCTTAAATGGTTGGGGAGAAATGGAAGGAAGAATAACAGTTCATGATGTAAGAAAACTGTCTCTCAAAATTCACTTCACTGCTCACATACTATTAGTGAGCACAGGCTGGCTCACTTGCTTAATGGAGTCTAGGCTGCTCTTCTGACTCAGTGGCAGAGCTCGGGAGTGGAGATTGGGTCAGGGGCCTAAAAAACTTAAAATATGTATCTTCTGGTCATTTACAGAAAAAGTTTGACCCCCCTTCCTTCTATGGAGTTGGCCACTGAACTTTTCCATAGTGAGAGACATAAAGATGACCTCGAGTAAGTCTGATTTTGTTCTAGCTTTGAGAGAGTTTGGCTCTCAGTATAGTGCTAAAAGCCAGCTTGAAGGAGTCTCATGAAAGGCTTGTGGGAGATGAGAGGTGGGCTGCAGAAGTTGCTCAGGTGGTATGGGCTTGCCTAGCAGGCATGCAGCCCTCCCTGGGTCCACACAGCATATATTGAGTGTGCTGCTTTATGACTCAATAATCCAAGAGTTTTGGAGATGTGGGAGGAGAATCATATTCAAGGCCATCCTCCACTAGACCATGTCCATGCTAGTCTAGGCTGTGGGAGATACTTTCTTAAAGACCAACAAACAAACCAGGCATGGTGATGCTCACCTTTAATCCCAGCACTAGGGAGGCAGAGGCAGGTGTGGGTCTCTGAATTAGATGACAACCTGATCTACATACAGAGTGAGTTCCAGGACAACTAGGGCTACACAGAGAAACCCTGTCGCAGAAAAACAAACAAACAAACAAAAAACAAACTCCTAGAAGCAAGCATGAACAGAACTCCTGGCCTGTGACAGACACCTAGCTTCCTCTCAGTTCTTGGTAGCTCTGGCAAGTTATTAATCTCTGAACTTTAAGACCAGGTCTCACAGCTAGGGCTGGTCTCAAATGTGTATTCAAGGCCAGCCTAATCTCCTCTGTCGCTATTTATCATGTGTGCTGATATTTCAGGCATGCTCTATCAGGCTCAATATGAGATTCTTTTTTACTTATCGATTATTTGTTGCTGCTTTTTTTTTTTTCTTTTTGTACTGGGGATTGAATCCAAGTCCTTGTACACACTAAACAAACACTCCCACTGAGCTGTATCCCCTTACTAGCCTTTCTTTTTCTTTTTTTCCGAGACAAGGTCTCTCTGTGTAGCCCTGGCTGTCCTGAAACTCATTCTGTAGACCTGGGTGGCCTCCTGTTTGCAGAGATCCACCTGCCTCTGCCTCCCAAGTGCTGGGATTAAAGGCATGTGCCACCACAACCAGGCCTTTCTTATGTTAACACCCTCCACCTTTATGTTAGAATGGCACCAGGGTAGCTCATTATGTGGAAGGGGCTTCAAAGAGCTTCCAAGAGAATCGGGAAACACTGTGAAGGCCTCATTCAAAGACACAGATCAATGGGGGTAGCCATTTTGAAAATATCTGTAGAGATCTATCTGTTCTTGATAGGTCTGAGCAGTCCATGTTATTTAAGAATAGGTGGACAAAATTCGGGCTAGGAAAGTAATTCAATTGGTGGAGCACTTGCTTAGTTATCGTGCATGAAGCCCTGGGTTTGCTTCCCATCATTACATAATTTGGGTGTGGTGGTGCCAAATTTGTAATCCCAGTCCTGTGAGGTAGAGGCAGAAGGGTCAGAAGTTCAAGATGACCTTTGCGAATAACAAGTCTAAGGCAAGTCTGGGCTATCTAAGACCACTTTTTGGGGGAAAAAAAAAAAACAAAGCTGCTAATAATAGAACAGGTGAAGTAGTTCACACCTGCAATCCCAGCAATGTGGAAAGAAAGGATGGCTGTAAATTCAAGGTCTGCCTGGGCTACAGAGTGAAAAAACCGGAACTGGTTGTCCTATGCCTTTGATCCCAGTAACTTGGGAGAGAGAAGCAGGTGGGGCTCGGTGGATTTCAGGCTGGCCTGACTTACATAGTGAGTTCCAGGAAAGCCAGAACTACGTAGAAATACCTTATCTCAAGATAACAAACAATTTGAGCATGTGCAGGGCATGGTGCACACACCTTTAATCCCAGGACTCAGGAGGCAGAAGCAGACAAATCTCTGTGAGTTTGAGGCCAGCTTCGTCTACGTAATGAGTTCCAGTCTACACAATGAGATCTTGTCTCAAAATTATAAAGAATAGCCAAAATGTAAAAGGATCACCCACAAATTCTAAGCAGTGAGTTCCAGGCCAGCTAGGATAACACAGACACAGCACACACAGAGAGATATAAATGAATATAATGAAACTTTGCTAAGAATAAGAGTTTAAAAAGAATAAGAAAAGACTTCTATTCTTTATCTCTCAGTGCTTGTTTGAAATTTAGTTCAAATTCCATTTCTGGCTGGCTGGGCAGTGGTTGTGCATGCCTTTGATCCCAGCACTCAAGAGACAGAGGTAGGCATATTGCTGAGTTTGAGGCCAGCCTGGTCTACAAAGCTACACAGAGGAATCCCGCCTTGAAAAACCAGCTAAGCAAACAACAACAACCACCACCCAAAGAATCCCCCAAACCACCTCTTCCATTAGTTTTACTACTGCCTCGTTCAGGGCCCTGCCTTCCATAGTCAGTCTGTCTCAGTCAGCTTAGCCTGAAGAACACACCTGTGCAGGGTACTAAAGGCAACTGGTGCCTGGTCCTGCTTTGGAAGACCAACTGCCACCATGGACAAGTCTCCTCCTGTCTGGGCCTTGGGTCCTGGTCTGGCAGTAAGGGGCTCTGTGTGTGGATCTGGCTTTCCTAGCTTATTGGGAATAAGGGGAGGGAAGTCCTGTTCTGACCCTCAGAGGCTGAGGCAGGCCAGGTAGCAGTTTAGAGCAAAGGAAATACTGGCTGGGTCTGCATTGATGCGGTCCTAGATTGCAGCCCAACCGAACCGTGATCCTCCACCCAGGCCTCTGCTTTCTGTTGCTCTATAGGTGGGCACCTCTTGGGTACACAGGCTTCTTCTGCAGCACTAAGTGATCACTGGGACCCAAAGCTGGGAGGGGCCGAAAGGCAACCCAGTTCCCCTGACCTCATTGTCCATTTTCATTGCTCTCCTGCTGCTCAGCATGGACCAGTTAGTCACCCGGACAAAACTCCAGGGATGAAGGTCTCACAGTCATTGTTGGGGATAGAGTGTTGGAGTCCAGGTAAGATAAGAGGGCCTAGGATTGAAGGCTGAGAACTTTTGTCCAGAATGCCAAATTCTTGGAGTACAGCTGAGCCTTGGATACCTAGCAACGGGGGTTTTTATCAAGAAGGCTCCACTCTCCAGGGCCGGGAGCCAGAGAGATGGGAGGTCTGGTTGCCTTAGGGTGGGAGCAACTCCAGGGTAGTACCTTCTGCCCTTAAGCTTTGCTATCCTGGGGCTGGCCCTTTAAACTACAGACCATGATGTCACCATAGACAGCAAGTGACAGGAGGGGCACTGCAGGCCCGAAAGATGGACTACATTTCCCAGGATCCTCTAGCGAACCACACCCCTCCCAGCAGGCGCTAAAGTAAAGCCGACTATTAACCACTCTAATGCCGGATTCGAGGGGTTTTGGAAGTATCTGGCTTCATTCTATGCTGAGTATGGATGGAGCTCCTTTGGGGCTGTCCTGAGGCACAGATGGCCCAGACCAAATTGTGGGCCGGGAACATTATGCTAGGCCTCTGTCCTGCCACAGTTCTGACATTAGCATGTTCAAACCACGGAGTCCTCTTCTTTCCTACAGTGTCCCTTGCAGAATCCGGGACTCCAGCTCTGAGCTGGATTCAGTCCGTCCCACTCTGTTTGCAGGTTTTAAAAGTCTCAGCTTTGTCCCGGGAGTGCGGAGTCTATCTCCGTAAGTTCTGGTCTCGCCCTTTAAACAGGGTGCGAACTACATTTCCCAGCGGCCCGAAGGCCTCACTGACGCAGCCCCCCTCCCCAGGAGGGGAGGTGCGGGACGGGAGGGGGGAGGTGACTTGATGTCATCCTGAGCAGCTGGGCGGCGGGTGCCGGTGCGCAGCGAGCCGGGGCTCCCGCTGCGCTGCATCGCGCGGGTCTGAGTCCCGAGATAGCTGCCGAGGATCGCGTGTTGCTGGGGTGCAGCCCAGAACCCGCCGAGCGCCCGGCCCCTTCTGGGGCTGAGCTGGGGGGCATGCTCCAGCACCCCCAGAGCCCGGGAGCGAACCCAGGAGCGCCGCCGCCCAGCCCCAGCGCCCCGAGCGGCGAAATCGCCGCTAAGGACCCTTGAACCGCCGCCCCCTCCTCTGAGTCAGCCTCTAGGGGTCGGCGACCAAAGTCTGGGTTTCTGAGAAGTGAGTGTGTACCCTACTACCACCATGAGGTTTGGGGATCAGGAGGAGCGGGATGCAGGGAGGGATCCTAGGATCTCAAAGGGGGTGCATGAGAACAGGACCCTCATTTCTGTATGAGTGCACCGGGACAGGAGGCATTAGTGGAGCAGGAGCGTCCCACTGCTGTTTGGAGCTGGAGATGCTAAACAGAGTCACCGTCCTGAGTAGAAGCCTTAGGCCGTATATGGGGAGGGGCTACTTTAGAGCTTGGGTCTGGAAGAAGGGAGAGACATGATTGTATCCTTGTTTGGGGGTCTAGCAAGGGGATGAGGGAGAAGAAGTGAGAGAGTAGCTGCCGCACACGGGCTGTCTCTGGAAAAGAACCCACCTGCTCTCTGTCTCTCCTGCTGACCTTTGTAACCTGACTTCTCAGAAGAGCCAGCGTGGGAACCCTGACTGGACTCTTCTGGACCCCCAGGAAAGACCTGAGCCATTGCCTTTCTACCTTGCCTGCCCCCCCAGGACTGGGCAGTTGCCAGAGGCCCTGGGGGGGTCAGGTCTGTGGTTGTGTCTCCCCCAACATGCTGGTCAGGATGGGTCCCAGTTAATGTGTGTGGCCTCACTCCGCTTCCTCCAGACCTACAAGGAGCCTCCCGGGCTCTGAAAGGTTGACTGCTGCCCACTGGCCATGGAGACAAAGCTGCCCCCTGCGAGCACCCCCACAAGCCCCTCCTCCCCAGGGCTGTCTCCAGTGCCACCACCAGACAAGGTGGATGGCTTCTCCCGCCGGTCCCTCCGCAGGGCTCGCCCTCGCCGCTCACACAGCTCTTCTCAGTTTCGCTATCAGAGCAACCAGCAAGAGCTCACTCCACTGCCCCTGCTCAAAGGTGAGCTGTTGCCACCTGCCAAGGTACCTTAGTCTAGAAGGTAGTAAGGTAGGGGAGGATGGAGGGAGGAACAGCTGTCAGGTAGAGTCTGGATACCCTCGTAGGCTAGGCACTCCATTGGAATTGACCCCCAATCTCCAGCCCTTTGCTGACGCATGGCCTGACTGGCCTGTCATCTCTGGAGGTGGGGCATCTGGAAGTGGTGCCAGGGGCAGGCAAGGGCCAAGGGTGGGGCACTCAGCCACATTTCAGGAGGCTCCCATCAGCCCAGCCAGCTGCCTAGCTCTTGGGATGGGTGCCTTGGCATGATTCCCCGTGATCACCACATTCCCCCAACCTCACTCCTGCTCTGCTTTCTACTTCTGGCTCATAAATCTACGCCAACTATGAGTGAGGCAGTGGCTGTTTGGGGGGGTGACTATATATCCAGAGTTTGTGGTATTGCTTTAAAATTATGAGGTCTCTGGTCCTGGGTTAGAAAAGAAAACCACCTTCCTACCCTCAACCTCCCAGGAGTGAGGATGGGACTAGAATTGTTTGCTAGCTATACCAGAGTACCCTGGACGGGGGCAGTTAAAGCTGCCTGGAAAGTCAGCCTGAGTGATGAAGACACCACCCCTGTCCAGAACTCTGGCAGCTGTGGTCCAGCCTCAGTCTCGTGGTCCCTCCCCGCCCCCCAGATGTGCCAGCTTCTGAGTTGCATGAGTTGCTGAGCCGCAAACTGGCCCAATGTGGGGTGATGTTTGACTTCTTGGACTGTGTGGCTGACCTCAAGGGGAAGGAGGTGAAGCGTGCAGCCCTCAATGAACTGGTGGAATGTGTGGGAAGCACCCGAGGTGTCCTCATCGAGCCTGTCTACCCAGATATCATCCGCATGGTAAGCACTGCCCAGCCTCAGAGGACAACAATCCTATCAGTCTACTCTAAGCCCCCCGTGGGAAGAATTAATGTATACTCTTCAGCTTGGCCTCAGGGGCCATGCTGCCATCTCCACTAAGCCCCGCTGCTGCCCAGCACCCACTCAGGGTTCCCTCTCCCTGTTGTCCTGCACCTGTGTGAGCTGGGCCTGGAGTACCTGTCCTTCCAGCCACTTGTCTTCCATGGCCTGACTCAGGCATGGGCTAACCTATGAAACCCTCTCTCAAGAGTTGGGTCCCCAGCCGCTGGCTTTGGGCTTTCACGAACCTGTTGTTTAGGTGGAGATTGTCCAGAGGAGTGGGTTGCTTGCTGGGGAATAGGTCAGTTCAGGAGAACTGGATGAGGAAGGGGCTGGTGGTAAACTCAGTGTGAAGCCTCAGGTTCCAGCCCCATGTACCCAGTATACTTGGAAAGTGCTTGGCCTGGTGCTGCAGACTGAGGCAGGATTGTCACAAGGTCATTTTCTGCCTGGGATTTAGAGAACTTTGAGAGTTCCCCAAACTTGTGCCTCTGAGGTCTCATCCTTAAAAGAACCCTGCCTTGCCCTGCTAGATAGCAGTAAATATCTTTCGGACTCTGCCACCCAGTGAAAACCCTGAATTTGACCCTGAAGAAGATGAGCCCAACCTTGAGCCTTCGTGGCCACATCTACAGGTATGAAGGGCTGGGGAGCAGGGGTGTGCATTTCAGAGGAGAGCGGAGGGCTGTGGGGGAGAGTTTGTATAGATTCTGAGTGTTGTCTGAGAGCTGCAGGGTAAGGGAAGTGGGTGAGGCTGTAACTAAACTCACCTTTTGATCTTTCTCCCACCCCCAGCTGGTATATGAGTTTTTCCTGCGTTTCTTGGAGAGTCCAGACTTCCAGCCCTCTGTGGCCAAGAGATATGTGGATCAAAAGTTTGTCCTGATGGTGATTTGGGGTGTCCAGGCTGGGTGGTACCACGAGGCAGGCACAGGCTATCTGGGGAACATGGGGATATGATGAGAGAAAATGGGAGTTGACATCTGGCCTTATTTACCCTGGGTCCTATAGCTCCTGGAGCTATTTGACAGCGAGGACCCCCGGGAACGTGAGTACCTCAAGACCATCTTGCATCGGGTATACGGCAAGTTCCTGGGTCTCCGGGCCTATATCCGCAAACAGTGCAACCACATCTTCCTCCGGTACGTGGCTGCTGCCTGCTCAGCAGAGACCTGGGAGGGAGGCAGGGAAGGAGGATCTACTAGGACTACCAGGCTGTGTGGGCTTATGTTTAACAAGTTCTGTCTCTGCAGTGTAGTATTGATTATACAAAACCTGTGAAGTCAGCAGAGAATGAGTTTTATTTCCATTTTACAGATGAGCAAATAGAGGCCAAGTAAGAATATAGGAAAATGGAAGCCAGTTAAATAGTTTAGAGGGAATGTAAGATACAGATCTTCTGATTCCTATCAGGCTTTCTACAAACATGCTGAGCACCAACTATATCCCCTGGGCATTGGAATCTTGTAGTTGAGACTGTGGTTGTATATTTGAGTTTGGCTCAAGTATTTGGGTGAACTTGGGCAGGTCTTGAATTTCTCCGCTTGCTTCATTCTTTGAAGTGGGCACACTGCCTGTGCTAATGTGGGTTCATTCTCCAGATGAAGCCAGATGGGGCCTCCAAAGCACCTGGCATAGCTTCTGGCCTGAGGTGGAGAGCCTCTGAGACATTAGCCATTGTTTCTAGCGATGAAATAGAGAAGACATAACCCATGTTCTCTAAGAGCTCAGAGTCCATTAGCTTCCCCACTTATTAACTTTGAGGCAAGTAGCCTTTAGCTAGAGTTTCAGCTGCACCTCTGTAATGGCTTTCACATACCCTGTCTTCCAGAGGGATTTTGGGGATTATAGTACAGGGTAGAAGTGTTTGTTGTTGCTTTGGTTGACTGCATGAAGGTTGAAGGTCCTAGGCTGGGTGCCTGCTGGCTGGCTGGGCATCAGGTAAGGCATGTTAGTGGCTGGAAAAAATGAGCTGGGGCTCTGTCATGGAAGAGAGGCTGAGAGCTGGGACTGACAGCAACAGAGGTGGCTGGGCTGGGAAAGACATTTTGCCTGTGGGTGTGAACTCAGTGGGGCCTGGTTTGGGGCACCAGGCAGGGAACACTCCTGTGGGTTGGGGAAAGTTGGACAGCTGTGTGGGGTGAGTCAGGGTGAATGGCAGGAAGGCTGATGGAGAGAAAGCTGGACCTATCCCAATGCTCCCACCCTCCATCTTCTCTTTTCCTGCAGGTTCATCTACGAGCTGGAGCACTTCAATGGTGTGGCTGAGCTGCTGGAGATCTTAGGAAGGTAATTCTTGTCTTTGGCTGGAGCAGGGGTTTCTGGTAGAAGGGACTGGGAGCCTGATTGGCTGAGCCCTGCTCCTCTCTTCTGTCCACTCCTAAGCATCATCAATGGCTTTGCGTTGCCTCTGAAGACTGAGCACAAGCAGTTCCTGGTTCGAGTCCTGATCCCCTTGCACTCTGTCAAGTCGCTGTCTGTTTTTCATGCCCAGGTGAGCTCCAGCCTGGCCCTGTAGCAGCAGGGCTGCTGCTGACACTCAGGGCTGCCTGTGGGGCCAGGAAGTCAGATGGACACTCGCTGCATCCTGTCTCACCTGAGTCTCTACTCAGTCCCCTCTACCTGAAAGCTGACCTCAGGCACCAGCTCTGTGCTGTTCAGCACTCAAGAGCAGCCGCAAGTGCTCAGTGAACAAGAGTGTGAAGGCAGTAATGAGCAGATGCCTGGCATGCTGTCAGGGTAGCTAGTTCTTGGCTCCTGGCCCTTCCTGACCTTGGCTCCTTCTTTCCATCCCGGCCCTGCAGCTGGCATACTGTGTGGTGCAGTTCCTGGAGAAGGATGCCACTTTGACAGAGCATGTGAGTACCTTGGAGGGAAGGTGGGCCCCTCACTCTGCAGGTCTGACTCCTCCTCCACCCTACAGGTTATCCGGGGGCTCCTCAAATACTGGCCTAAAACCTGCACCCAGAAGGAGGTATGAAGGGCTCTCCCAACCCTGAGAGTGGGTGGGAGGGCTCAGCTTCCAGAGGGCAAGCAGGTGTGTGCTGTGCTTTAGGGGAATGTGAGCTGCTGCTCTGCCCTCTCCCCAGGTGATGTTCCTGGGCGAGATGGAAGAGATTCTTGATGTCATCGAGCCTTCCCAGTTTGTGAAGATCCAGGAGCCCCTCTTCAAGCAGGTGGCTCGCTGTGTCTCCAGCCCCCATTTCCAGGTATGTGACAAAGGCAGGTGGGGTCAGAGCAGAGGCACAACCTGGCAAAGTTTCAAAGTTGGCCTAACATAGTCCCCTCTCCCTGTAGCTTCTCTTCCAGCCGTAGACCTGATAACAGGGAGGTGCTGGCCTTGGGGTCATGAGACCTAGGGTCAACCTCAGATCTGTATCCCACTGAGAGGCCTTGGAGGAATCTCTTCTCTGAGTCTAAGTGGGTTTCTTTGACTATAAAATGGGCCAATAATAATCTCTTCATAATGTAGTGACAAGAACAAGAACACATAGAAACACATCAGGGAAGCTGACACACAGTGGGCTACAGGATTCCTCTTTTCTTGGTGACCTTAGACTTTACTGGTCCTACTTTCTGGCCGGAAGGCTCAGTTCTCCATGCTGGTCTACATTCACTCCCACTCTTAGGAGCCATACCTGGTGGATGTTGGCGCCTCATGATGGCTCTGGTATTTCACTTTTAAAGCACCTTGAAGTACAGGAACTCATTTCATTCTGACAACAGCTGGTGGAGACGGGTATTCTTAGCCTCATTCGCACGCAGACAGCTGAGGCTGAGGAGCTGGATGCCTCACCAAGGCTGCACACGTGCAGTGGGCTATGGAGGAGTCAGGACTGCCCGTGGTGACTGTGAAGTCTCTGCTCTTTCTCTTACCTCCAATGGGTCACATAAGCCCTCAGGATGGGGTGTGGAGGTCGGAGGATCTGGGTTTTGGGGTAAGGATGAAAAATAGACCTCGTCTACTCTAAAACCACTGCCAGCTCTCTCTACTCCTTCACCTGCCCAGGTTGCAGAGCGGGCTCTGTATTTCTGGAATAATGAGTACATCCTGAGCCTCATTGAGGACAACTGCCACACTGTGCTGCCTGCGGTATTTGGGACCCTCTACCAAGTGTCCAAGGAGCACTGGAATCAGTGAGTGCCCAAGCTTTGTGTAACCTTGGAGACAGACACCACAGTTAGTCTAGCCCCTAGGGCCACTCCTAGCTGGACAGAGAGCAAATGTCAAAATATCAAACTGGAGGTAAAAGGGCAAGGAAATGGCAGTGTGCAGGGATCAGGGATGAGCAGAATGGTATCTTATTAATCTCCTTAACACCTCTCCTTGATTATGCCAGAACCATTGTATCGCTGATCTACAATGTGCTCAAGACTTTCATGGAGATGAATGGAAAGCTGTTTGATGAGCTTACAGCTTCCTACAAGCTGGAGAAGCAGCAGTGAGTACTGGGGAGGGGCAGAAAAGTAGGAAGGAGTCAGACCCTCAGGCTGCAGGAGTATGAGGGGCCCATCCTGGTGTAGTCAGTTTTACCCTGTTTCCGGCAGAGTTTGCCCACTGACTGCTTTGGTTCCCTTTACCAATGCCTTAGTCAGGGCAGCTCACGGCCCACTTTTTCCTCTCCTCACCTCCCCTCTAAGCCAAGGCATCCCATGGAGCCCTAGTCATTTTACAGCAGGGTGGTGGTGTGAGAGGTTAGATTGTTGGTAGCTGAGAGAGGAAGAGCTGCCTCACCCTCTCTCCCCAGGGAGCAGCAGAAGGCCCAGGAACGTCAGGAGCTATGGCGAGGTTTGGAAGAGCTGCAGCTACGCCGGCTACAGGGGACCCAAGGGGCCAAGGAAGCCCCCCTCCCTCGGCCTACACCCCAGGTGGCTGGTAGTGGGGGTCAGAGCTAGACAAATCTAGAAGGGGAGAAGCTAAACCCAGAGCTATCAGCCCCTCCATCCCTTCTGCCCAGGGGCCCAGTGAGGCCCACGACTCCCCGTGGCCTTGCCAGAGTGGTTCTAGGCCCAGAGTGGCTCTAGGACTCCTTGCCAGCCCCATGGGAACAGCTTTCATGGGGGGGAGACAAGAACGCAAGATGGTAGTCTTGGCAGCAAGAACTCTCAGGCCTTTGTGGCAAGATTCTGGCAAGACTAGACCAGGGCAAGTATGCAACTGGGAAGCTGCCATCAGGGATCCTCCCCTGCCCTAATACAGCTGGGCTCCCATCCCTGCTCCTGGTTTGGGGCATGGGTGCTCGGCACCTGGCCTGGCCTGCCTCAGCCTGGCCAGGGCCTGCCTCATCCCCACCATGGGGGCACAGTCTATTTATTCTGCCCAGCTCACCCTCAACAAGACACTGTCCAGGAACATTCTCCTCTCCTCTCCCTTGCCCTGTTCTTCCTTGTCCCCTTTTTATTTATTGGGCAGGGGGAGGGGTGAGGGCACAGGCAAGAAGAGATTCACATTGTCCTGGGGTGAGGGGGGGGTTACAGGAATCATGGTCTGCCTTCTTCCCCTGGCTAGGGGGCAGACTTAATAAAGAGAGAAACTCAAGCATCGCTCGCTTTATTGAGGACAGGAATGAAGGACAGTGTAGCAAAGAAACTGCTTAGAAGGCCAGGTAAAAGGAGGTGAAACCCCATCTTCACTGACTCAAAAGAGGGCCCCCTCATTTGACAGATCCCATAGCATATTAGCGGCAGGACCCAGGCCTGAGCCATTCAGGCAGGGACTAGTAGCGGGAGAGCCGGCACATGTCACACTGGCAGGCTCTGGCGGTGAAGATCTCAAGCTCCCCCCGCTGGTTCCCCACACAGTTCAGCTGCACCTTCACCTGTTGAAGGAGGATCCCAAGTTTGTTCCTATTCCTTCCCACCCTCATGCTCCCATCAGGTGCAGGCCCCTCACCTTTTTTAGACTGCTAATGGTGCAGCACTGAGAGACAGAGGTGATGTTGTGTCGATAGCCACTGGCCACCAGCACAGAGTACCGGGAAGGGAAGGCACTAGACTCACAATGTCCTACACATGCCTGTGCTACATGAGAGCCCTGGCAGGTGCCATGGCGGTCACTTCGCACTGTCACATTGAAGGCTGGAAGGAAACAAGGAAACAGCCTGTGAAGATGCCTGGCTGGGTTTTCTGTGCTTCCCGTCTGAGGTTCAGTGTGTTACCTCTGCTCTTTCTCCCAATGCACTCTTCCCAGCAGAGTTACTCACGGTGCAAATGGCAGCCTGGGATGGCTGCCTCCTGGCAATGGCCTTCAATGACTGCCAGAACCAGCAGGCAGAGGATCAGGATTCGTGGTGCCTTGTGCATCTGAAAGGGAGTGGGTGGAAAGGGGTCTTTGAAGACATGCCTCTCTGCCAGCAGGCCAGGCTGCTGGGTCTCAGTCTAGTGAGGTGTGTCTGGGTGGTGCTGTCTATCCTGTCTTTGGCAGGAATGTGCTGCTCTGCCTGGACTACTCTGTGCAGATTTTCCCTGAAATGTCCCACACCCTTTGGGGTACAAAGTTCTTCCCCTTTCCTGTGCCACTTTGGTCTACAAGGCTCTGACCCAACCCTCCTGCCCACCCCAGTTCCACCTGGTCTCCTTCAGCAGCTCACAATCCAGCAGAATCAGATGGCTGTAGATTCCCAGTGCCTCCTGCTGGTCTCCAAACTGGTGCTGGCTCTCCAGGCTTATATTTTTGAGTGTTTTAGAGCCACACCTTCCTAGATATCAGCTTTCAGGCTCCTCCTAGCCTGAAGCCTTAGCACAGTCCCACCTGGGGATCATAACCTGAGGTTTCTTCAGAGGGCAGTCTGCTGACATTTCCCTTTCCCAGAAGGCTTTCTAGGGGTGAGTACTAAAGGGAATGAGGCAAGATCAGGAGTGGCCCAGTGTGACATGTGTGCAGCTGGGTTCTCTTCCCACCCTGTGAGCTTAGGCAGGAATCTTCTTTGAACAGCTATTCTGTCTAAAAACTACTACCCTCCGTTCTGTTGCCTACCTGCCTTTTAGTGATTGCAAACTAAAGGGCTTAAAGGACCTTTTTTTTTTTTTTTTTTTTTTTTTTGTTCTTAAAACACAATTTCCTGCATCCCAGAAGTAACCTTGAACTTGTGATCCTTCTGCCTCTACTTCCTAAGTCCTGGAATAAAAGGCATGTGCTCCCATATCCAGTTTATGTTGTCCTGGGTCAAATCCAGAACAAATCCTGTGCATGCTTGGGAGTCACTCCACCAATGGAGTTATATCCCTAGCCCAAGAACAAGATTGTTTTTTTAAGGGGTGCTCCACCAGTGAAGGCACTAAGCTGTGCTTGGTGGCAGACTAGGATAGGTCCATGTCAGTCTTCCAGTGTCCCGTGAATGCTTTCTCCTCATGTGGCCAGCATCAGAGTGAATTCTGAGCTATAGTCACCTTAGCCCATGGAACAACTGGGCCCAGGCTCCATATAACCAGAGCTAGACCTGATCTCAGCAAATCTGTAGCATCCAGCTGTGGTTCTAGAGGAGAGGCTACCTATTAGATATCACATTCAAATATCCTGCTCTCTATCCATGGTGCTAAATGACACCTGTGACAAGGAAGTGACTTGTTGAAGGCTGTGGATGTAGTTCAGTGTTTGAGCATTTGCCTAGCAGTGAGGTTTTGGGTTCCATCCATTTTTAGCACAAACAAACAAACACAAACAAAAAACACCAAACAAATAAAAAAAAAAAAAAAAAAAAAACCAGGCCAGATGGTGTTGGCACACTTGGGAGGCAGAGGCATGTGGACCTCTGAGTTCAAGGCTAGCCTGCTCTATATGGAGTGAGTTCCAGGAAATGCAGAGCTTTAGAGAAAAACTATTTTGGGGGAAAATCAAAACAAAACAAAAACCCCAAACAAACAACAAAACGAAACAAAAACACAGTAAGAAAGGCCTTAGTGAACTTTAGCTGGAAGTTGAAGGGCCCAAATCAGATGGACTACAGTGGCTATAGGCAGTCCCTCTCAGACCACTACCCCTGACCTGGCTGAGACGAGTAGGGCAGGCTACAGTCAGCCAGAGCTCAAGGGACCTTCAGTTTTCATACCCTACCTCTCACTTTCTAGATGAGAAGAAAGGGCCACGAGGCCCCTTGGTAAGCTGGTCAATATGGACACTCAGGCCTCCCAGCTTTGAAGATGTGCCCTTTAGCAGCAGCTGTCAAATTATGCTTGGGATTGTAGGAATTTGGGAGGAACTGGTGGTGTCCATGTTGCTCACCCTCTCATGCCTGCACCTTGCTTGCCTTTTGGTATAATCCTGCTAAAGTTCCAGGTCCTCCCAGAGTACCATATACCATACTTCTCCCTTTCCCTCAAAAGTAGAGGTAGCCAAGCAAAGGGACTTAGAGGGATCTGAGCATTCTAGCCTTAGGTTTCCCATTAGGAACCCTCTGGCACGTGACAGACTGTTTAAAGACCTGAGGAGGCAAGAGCTCATTGCCTACAAGTATCTATTCTAATATTGGACTTCACTAAAAGTTAAAATGCCGATTTATTTGTTGAGAGCTAAAATGAGTTTTCCAAAATTTCCATCCATTATTCTTTGGTTCTTGGAGGCCACATAAGTCCATGATGCTTCTTTAAATGGCCCTTTGGTTGAAGAAAGAGCTTGGGTGTCTTGGCCTTCTCCAGGGGCCCTAACTTGTGCTGGCTTCTAGTTACCCTGATGAATTAGTTTGTGTTCCTGTTAAGGAACCAAAGGGTAGGAGCATTTTACATTCAAGGCATTATCCCTTGGGACCAAGCAAAGAAAGAAGAATTTCTTTGGGGCAGTGGGACTCGGGCCAGTGAACCTTGTGTGGCCCTATTCCCTGACCCCTGGTAAGAAGCTGTAAGAGTTGAGGTCAAGTGAACTCCCATGTGGTCTACTAAGCAACAACCCATGACCCCGGGAGAAGGTCTGTGAATGCTTCTCTGTATTCTCTCATGCTCTGCTTCACCAAGTTCAATCAATAAGCCATCATGACCAATTATTGGCATTAGAATTCTAAATACTAGAGACAAAAGACTTAAACCTTCGGGCAGTGGAATTCGTACCTTACTCTTTTATTTTTTAATTTTTATTAAAATTACATTTTTTATTTTTTGTGAGTGTGCAAGCCATTCATGGTACATATATGGAGGTTGAACTCAGGTTATTAGGTTTGGCTGCAGGTGCCTTACCCATCAAGACACCTTGCTGGCCCTTAGTGTTGCTTTGTTTTTCTAATTATGTGTATATGGGAGGGGGACTGCTGAAGCCGGAAGAGAGTGCTAGACCCTGATGGAACTGTAGTTGGAGGTTACTGTGGATTTCTTTGTTGTGGATACTGAGAACCAAACTCAGGTCCTCTGCAATAGCACTATGCACTTTTTTGGTTTGTTTGTTTGTTTTTCAAGACAGGGTTTCTCTGTATAACAGCCCTGTCTATCCTGGAACTCACTTTGTAGACTAGACTGGCCTCAAAATCACTGAGATCTGCAAGCCTCTGCCTCCCGAGTGCTGAGATTAAAGGCCTGGCCAGTATTCACTCTTAATTACCATCTCTCCAGCCCCATCCTTAGTATGTGTGGTTTTTACTTTTATTTTTTTAAGATTTATTTATTTATTATATATACAGCATGTATGCCTGCACTTCAGAGGGAATCAGATTTCATTATAGATGGTTGTGAGCCACCATCTGGTTGCTGGGAATTGAACTCAGAGCCTATGGAAAAGCAGTCAAAGCTTTTGTCTCTGAGCCATCTCTCCAGTCCCATCCTTAATGTTTTAAATAGGAAAAAAAAAAAAAAAATCAAAGGCAAACAACAGGATAAACTCATATGAGGATTCAGTCTGGTGCCCTCATCCCCATAACTCAGGAATTACAAGGAAAGGATGGTGTGTAGTGGTGCAGACTGGTAGCCCAAGACAGAATGATGGAGCATTTGAAGCTAGCCTAAGCTATTTAACAATAATGCTTATCTCTAAAACAAAACAAAGAAGGAAGAAGATGAAAGCAAAGGATGTTTGGTATAGCTCAGGAGGAGTCACTGCAAGACAAAGTCTTCTTCCGACCCACCGACCTATGAAGCCACCATGCCGTAGTGCCTGGCAGGCTCACTGACTGCTCTTCCTGAAGAAATACCGAAACGGGAACAGAGTGCTGCAGGAATGAGAGCAGAGGAGGAGTGTGAGATTGATGAAGTCACTTCCCTTCTCCCTGGTTCCCATTAGTGCCTCATTAGCTGGGGCATTTTGCTCTGGGGAACTACAGAATGGATATGCAAGACCAAAACAGCATTTGAGAAGGTTCCCAAATTAGATTACACCTGGAAGGGGGAAATAAAGGAAAAAGAATTTCAGTAGGATGGTTAAGCTCTAGATAGACAAAGATTTGCTCAGTGTTCTCTGCACAAAGGGTTCTGAACACACACCTAGATTCAGAGGTGAGAGTGGAAGGATTCTAGACTCAAATCTGGATGACCCAAGAAAGACAGATGTTTCTATTCAAGCAACACTTGTGAAACAGGGTTGTGTGGGGACCTCGGGGTAGAAAGAACTGTACATAAATTAGCAGAGGGCAAAGCAGCCCAAACTCAAGATAAGCCTGGACTACAAAGTGAGATCCTGTCTCAAAAGGAAGAAACCTGGTGTGATGGTGCACATCTTTAATCTCAGCACTCTGGAGGCAGAGGCAGGAGGATCTCTGTGAGTTTGAGGGCAGCCTGGTTAGGGTTACATAGTAAGACCTTGTCTCAAAACAAAACAAAACAAAACAAAAAAACCCAGTATACAGGTTTTTTGAATTAGGGTCCTTGTACTCAATTTCATTCCCACCATCTACCTTTGATACACTGAGAAATCTCAGTAAAGAATCTACTTCTATTATAGTCTCTCCCCCCCCCCCCGAAGACTCAATGAAGCAACTGGACCTAGAGACTGCTTTTCAGCTTGAAGGCAAAAACATTCTGTCTTACCTTAGAAACCCAAAGAAGCCACTGGTTCCTGGTTCTCTGGGTGGTGACGGGTTGCTATGTTGCAGTGGAGGGACAACCAGCCCTGGAAGACTATGCCCCAACTTAGAATCTGTAAGGAAAACATTCAGGCAGGGAAAAGAGATTGGCCCATAGGCTCCTTGAATCTGAGAGGAGATCACAGGGCAGCCTCACACACCAAGAATTATTTAGAGCCAGGTGAAATGTTTGCTCTGACCTTTCCAATTTCAAATCAGCTCAGTAATATTCTATTTTGTCCTTGGTATATTTTCAAAGTCAGGCTTGAGTTATTTACACAGCTCAAGTCTCAGCCATCCACCAGAGCTGACATGTTTCCACAAGGAACCACATCTTGTCTAGTAATTCACACGGCTACACTCTGTCTCTGCATAACTGCACCCCACGCCAAGCCCTTATGCTGGGTAAAGGATCAGAAAGCAGGAAGGGCATGCCTCATTGGGCATTCATTGGCCTTGCAGAGCACCTGCTCATACCTTCAGTTTATTGGTTTTTTTGAGACAAGTTTTTATGCAGCCCAGGCCAGCCCCTAACTTGCCACTCAGTGAATCACTGGAGTTATAGCATTGCAGATGTGCACCTTGCCAGGGTTTGTGAGGTATTGAGGACTGTCTCCAGGGTTTTTGTGCAAGTGAGGCGACTACTTTACCAACTGAGCTCCAGCTCCAGTCTCTGAACCTTCGATCTTAATACTGAAGCCCCAAGGGAAGTACTTCCTAGAAACATCTCTTCAACTCCACAGAAGAGGGAACCACGTTCCTTCCAACGTCCCTTCGAGACCTCCCACTTTGTTAGGAAATGTTTTGGAGTTACTGGACTACTGAGTTCACTGTCAGAAGCAAGGGGAGACTGGGCATGGTGGCTCATGCTTATAATTTCAGTATACTGGAGGCTCAAGAGTTAGAGGCCAGCAGCTCTCAAAGAACAAAATCTCCCACCAAACAAGAGTCTCCCCAAACCCACCCTGTTCCTGGCCATCGGTGGCATCAGAAGCATCCTGATGTTCTTGCTGGGCTTCTCCTTCCCGGTTCTGTTCAAAAAAAAAAAAAAAAAAAAAAAAAAAAAAAAAGAAAAAAGAGGAGGGTGAGGATAAAATCTTAACTTTATCCTACAGGGCCTGTAATCTGGTTGCTACTGGTTTCTGATGGTCTGGGCAGGTCCGTCCTATAGGTCCTTCTGTTCTTGTTCATTCCAGCTTCCTAACACAGTGCCTCTAAAGCCATATGCTGCAGGAGCACAGAACAAACCACCTGGGTTTGCCTCTTCAACCCTATTGCTAAGCTTGCTGGTGCTAAAACCTAAAGAACAAAATATCCCAGGAGGTGGTGACACACACCTTTAATCTCAGCATTCAGGAGGCAGAGGCAGATGGATCTCTGTGAGTTTGAGGCCAGCCTGGTCTACAGGGCTAGTTCCAGGATAGCTATGGATGTTACACAGAGAAACCCTGACTTGAAAAGAAAAAAAGAACCAAATATCATTTTGGAGACATGTACAGTCCGTACATGTGGTGAGGCTGACCCATGAGTCTGTAGTGCTATGGTTGCAAAAGTGGGTGGCAGTTGTCAAGAAAGGCTTCACAGGGGAAATGACATTTGGATGGAGCTTTGATGGATGAATGGGATTTTGTCATAATTGGGGTGAGGAGCTGGTCAGGGAGAGCAGGGCTTTCCGGGCAGAGACATGATGAAAAGGGCACAGTGCCATTATTGAGTAAATACAACCAGCATAGCTACAGCCAGGCATGGTGGAAACATGACAGCTGAACAACCAGTATAATACAGTGCAATCTTCTATCTCTCCATGTGTCACTGCTTGGTAGAAATTCCCTTGCAAGTTGAAGAGGACATCCTACAACCTGGTCCCAGGCCCACATTTCCAGTAAACATTCTGATGGTCAGAAACACAGGCATGCATTTTCTTCGGAATATCTGCCATCTGGCCTGTCCTTACCCAGCAGAGCCTGACTGCACAGCAGCATGCATGCTATTCAGGCTGTGCTTCTCATGAAGAATTTGCACAGGGTGACTAGGGAGGCAGTTGTTGCAGTAAGTCCTGAGGAAGTCAGCACTGACTCCTATTCTAAGCATACCTTTCAAGTTAGAATGGTAGATCTTTCTGAGATGAGTTTCCACATAAACCCTTCAAATCCAGGTCTGCAGTGGGCAGGCCCAGGCTCATATACCTATACAGGTGAGAGACAGCTACCGGGAGGAAGAAAACCATTCTTATCCCCCTAGACAGAGAGGAAGGATTTAGAAGGCCAGTTCTAATTTCATGAAAGAGTAATTCTTTTTTTAAATGGTTTATTTTTATTTTATGTGCATTGGTGTTTTGTTTACATGTCTGTCTGTGTGAGGTTGTCAGATCCCCTGGAACTGGAGTTAACAGTTGTGAGCTGCCATGTGGGTGCTGCGAATTGAACATGGGTCCATCTGGAAGAGTAGTCAGTGCTCTTAACCACTGAGCCAAGTCTCCAGCTCCGAAAGGGTAATTCTTATAAATTTAAGAAAACTATGGTTTTGGACTTAAATCTTGCTTCAGAGATGACCAAAGAGAATAGTATCTATGAGGGCTGGGTATAAGAGATCAGAGGGTAACAGCTATCTCAGATGTAAGGAGATTCCCCTTACAAAAAAGGCAACTTCCCATGAAGGCAGTATACAGGCACAAGTTGTAAGGGAGGAAAGACACAGCTGTGATTGTTGTGTCACTGGAGAGAGCCAGCGGTGTCACACCTTGAATGCCACTGACTGTTAAGGGCCACTTCTGCTTAGAAATGGAGCAAAAGCGGGGAACACACTGTGAGCAGTCTGGTCCACATCAGGGCCATTTATGTTTTCTCTGGGTCTCTAGGTCTAGGATCTGAAAGAACAAAAAGAAAGGGTCTTGCTTCCCTTATTATTCCCCAAACATCTCTCATGAGACAAGTATTGTATTCTAAGTATTCCGTGCAAAATACTTTTCAGTGTGTTCAGACACGCACAATCCTTCCTGTGCTGTATGCAATCCTATACCTAAACTTCCCACAAAGGGGTGGGGGGGATGCCAGGCACTGAACCATAGGAGCAAATTCAATTTTTCCAGCTCAAGTGGCTTGCACTGAGAGTCACTGTGATTACCTTAATTTAGGAGAAATCCTCTCCCTGGGAACAGAGTCTGTGATGGAGGCTGTCTTTGGGCGTTGAGTCAAAATCAATAAACATGCTTCTTTTGCTCAGCTTTTCTCTAAGCCCAGAATCAGGTTGAAAAGGTAATTATATTGAGTAAGAAGCTGTGGGTACTGTTCTTTCGGGAGATGATGTGTCAAACTAAGAATAGGAAGGTACGGAGGATAGTGCGAGGGAAATGCTCCTTTATAGCAATTATCTTGCTTGTGTAGAGAGCTCTGTTCTCCAGAGCTTCGTGTACCCTCTTGTAATTTCTCATGTCTCTTCTTGCCTCTCCAAAGGCTAGGAGCACAGGAGACAGCTACCTACCCCAAACCTTAGTAGGCTGTGGGGCTGTGACACAAAACTGGGGCCCCATCTTTTAACCCTGTTCTCAGAGGCAGAAGTCTAGATCCCAAGGGCAGTCAAGTAACTGATAAACTCTTAGAATAAGCAGTCAGGTTTTATAGGCATAATTGGGTGTCTTGGCACACAACATGCCAAAAGGTGACAAAATGGTAGACTGGAAAAATGAAATTGCTTTGTTACTTTACTCAAATGTATTTTAGGTAATTCCTGTGATCTTGGTGGATTCAAGGCCTGTTACCATCTAGCTCATGATGATCTGTCCAGTAATATTTTCAGCACTGTAACTAAGTTCGGGGTGCATTGGCCTGAGGCATGAAGACATCACACTCTTTCTCTTGCCCTTGGCTCTCTTCAAGGGCTTCAACTTCCCAGGGAACTCTCTCCTCATGACCTCTTTGTATTCACTAGGTACCCAGAGCTTCCTGCACACAGCACAGCTATCTGTGACTATCTGGTCTGACATTCCCAGAAGTTTTAGAAGCATGCTAACCCAAGTACTTGACACATCATAGACACAAGATGGCATATGGTAGTTCTTTGCTTCTTAACTGATCATGCTATGGGCCTGGGAAAGTAAAGGGTATGACTACTAGAGGGGAAAAAATGTGCAACTTTGGAGACAACTATTGGAAAGGAACCTTAAAATGGAGGAGTAGCTAATATATGAACATCTAAATGAAGAGACAGACCTGTAAATCAATAAAATCAAACCCAATAAAATCATTGGGATCAAACCAAATAAAATCATTGGGACAGGCAAGTAGTGGTACATGCCTTTGCTCCCAGCACCAGGGAGGCAGAGGCAGGTGTATCTCTATAAGTTCTAGGCCAGTCTACAGAGTGAGTTCCATGTTAAAAAAAAAAAATCACTGGATCTGCCTGTCACTGTTCTAAAGGCATTTCTCCCTTTTTATTCCTCTTTTGTCTGTTTTCCAAGACAGAGTTTCTCTGTGTAGCCCTGGCTGTCCTGGAGCTCACTCTGTAGACCAGGCTGGCCTGGAACTCATAGAGATGCACCTGCCTCTGCCTCCTAAGAACTGCACTGCACTGTGCTTGTTTTTTTTTATTGTTGTTTTTACATTTTAATGGATTTATTTTATTTTAAATTATATGTATGTGTGTGAATATATGCATGTGAGAGACAGAGGCCTCTGTGGACAAGAAGGATCCCACTGGAGCTAGAGTCACAGGCAGTTGTGAAATGCTTGACCTCAGAACCTCTAAAGAGCAGTAAATGATCTTAACCACTGGCCCACCTCTCTAGCCCTAATTACTTTATTTGGGGTGGGATAGGAGCAGTCTATGTAGCTCTGACTGGCCTTGAAGTCAGAGTGAGTTGCCCACCTCTGCCTCACCAGTGTTAGGATTAAAGGCATTAGCAATCTTGACCTGATTATGATTTTTATTTATGTAGATGCATGAGTGTGAGATGCATGGGGGTATGCTTGTGTCATAGTGTGAACACAGAAGTCAGAGCACCTTGTGTGATTCAGCTCTTCCTTCCATCATGCGGGTCCTTGGGATAGAAGTCCAGTCATCGGATTTGGCAGAAGGTGCCTTTGCAAAATGAGCTATTTGTTCTGTTTTTTTTTTTTTAATTAAAAATGTATTTACTTATGTGCATATGTATGTATATGTGCAAAGGTGCCAATAGAGAGACCAGAAGAGGGTGCTGGATCTCCTGGAGCCAGAGTTACAGGCAGCTGTGAGTTGTAACATGGATACTGGGAACTGAACTCAGCTCTTCGCAAAAGCAACAAATGCTCCTAAGGCTAAGCCATCTCTCAACCTCTTTATTTCTTTAAAGACCAGGTCTGGCCTGGAACTCACAGGAGGACTGTGAACTCAAGAGAATTCAAGTCCTTCCTCTGACTAAGTGCTGAGAATAAAGGCATGTACCACATGTTCAGCTTCCTCCATTTTTTACAAAATAACTTAAAAAAGTATCCTTTCACAATTCCAATATATACAATAATGTATTTAAATCATCTTTACTTCCCACCCCACTCTCTTACCCTCATCTCCCTCACCCTGTAGCTCTTCTTCCCAGCACATCACCCTCTGCTGCCATGCCTTTCTTTCCTTAGAACCCACAACTTGCTTAGGGCTGCTTGCATGTGAATAGGGGTAGCGTTATTTGCTGGATCATGAGCAGCTTACCAGTGGTTATACTCTTGCATAAAATAATTCTCCTTTCCCCCAGCAGTTCATGAACGTCACGTGTCCTTCCCCAATACATGAAGGGATGGTTACTATCTAGCTCTTGTACTAGTTTTATTCAGATAAGCACTGCTGCTGTGAGTTTATGGATACACTAATTAGTCCAGTTCAGAAGACGTCACTGCACAGCACTCTTCCCACCCTCCAGCTCCTACATTATTTCTTCCCTGTCTTGTTTTTTTCGGACAATGTCTTACTCTATAGACCTGTCTGACATGAGACTTATAGTGTAGTCAGGCTGGCCTCAAACTTGTAGCCACTTCACTGCCTTGGCCAGAGCACTGGAGTTACAGCCATGTGCGACTACTCCTTACCAACTTCTACTGCTGATACATGCCCACCTTATCTGCTAAAACTAGACACATCCAGATTCAGACTCCAGTGCAGACTAAGGCAAAAGTTTCCTACAGTGAGGATTCTGCACTGGATTTCACACCCATGCAAACAGACCTACTTTAAATTACAGAACACAGCAGTTTTGAAGTTGAGAAGACTCAATGTGAAAAGATCCATGGGTGTGTGCATTATAAAACCACATTAGGGATAGACTCTGACAAGCACAAAATAGTTGGATGTCATTCCACAGAGAGTGAATCCCAAGAATGAGTTCAGTCAATTCACTCTGTAGCAAGAACCAAGCTGAACGTGTAATAGGAACTTCAGCCTCTGACTAAACTAAGGAGCCTCAAGAGCCTCAAAACCCCCATCTTGATGCTTACCCTCTTGGTTTCCTTCAGGGGCTTCATATTGCTGAAGGCATCACTGGAAGTCTCTCTCTTGGCTCTGAAGTCAGGGAAGAAAGCCCAGGAAATGTCATTGGCTATGGCAACACTACCACATTCAAGCAAATGTAGCCCAAATGAATATTTCAGCAAGTTGGCTATTTTTATACTACTCCTTGCTGGCAGGAAAAACTGTGTGGCAAAAATTTCTTTGGTTGCTTTAATTCACAATAGAACTCCAATTGGAGACATTTAAGGGCATGTTTAAGAAACAGAAAACGTGACTGACAGAGGTATCAGACTATGAACTGTTCAGTTCTGCATCAAAACCCAGGGGAGTTTGGGGGCCTCATTATCTGTGGAAAAAAACAGTTAAATAAAATAAAACCCGAGTCTTACACCTCAAATATGCTCACATTCCACATGGCTTGTCACTGACATATCCACCCAGGAATCACAGGGTCAGACCCTTTGTAGTTTACCTTCATTGCTTATATGTCTAGGAGTCTTCAGATCCTAGGAGACCCTGGCATGAAAGCACCTCAGGCTGGGGAGCAAATCACATCTTGGATTATTCCAGGTGGCCTCTCTGGGATGCCACCAATGACTAAATTGTCTTATTGACTAATTCTTCCTTTGACAGAGAATCAAAAGGACATAAGTAGCCTCTACACAGCAACTTCAACATGTTGGGATATGCTCGGCATTCCCTCTAACAACTCATGCACACTACATTTTTTTTTTTCAGGCAAGATTTGACTAGTATCCTGGCTGGCCTCTGCCTCCTGAAGGCTGAGTTTACAAATGTGCACCACCACATATACAATTTCTTACACACTTTACATTTTACCTAACTGCTCATGGGATAAAACAGAATTCTATGTTATTTATTCTTATTCTTTCAAAGATATTTTATATGCATGCTTATGTATGTATGGGGGTTGTGGATGCACACATATGTACACCTGTGTGGGGGGCAAAGGATAACCTTCAGTGCTGTTTCACTGTTTTTGTTTGAGACAGGGTCTCTTACTGGCCTGGAGCTTGCCAAGTAAGCTAAATTGGCCAGCCAGTGAGCCCCATAGGACCACCTGCCTGCATCTCTCCAGCACCGCAGTTATAAACTTGTGCCACCATGCCTAGAAACTCCCAAGGGTTCTGGGGATTACATTATGCTTGCAGAGTAAACATTTCACCCACCACACTATCTCTTTAGCCTTCTTCTAGTTTTGGATAATATTCTGAGACTTCCTAAGTTGTGTGCCATCTACAATAAAACAGAATATGTATTTACTGACTATGTTGAGTTCAGATCAACAGATCTGTGTTTAATCTTAGCCCTTGTCTGTATCTTCTTCTTGCTTTTTGTTTGTTTGTTTTGTTTTTTTGAGACAGGGTTTCTCTGTGTAACAGCCCTGGCTGTTTGGAAATTCACTTCATAGACCAGGCTGACCTTGAACTCACAGCAATCCAGCTGTTTCTGCCCCCTGAGTGCTGGGTGTGTAAAGGGGTGTGCCACCACTACCCAGTCTTCTTTTTGATTCCAGGGCCTCACACTTATTAGGTGAGCACTCTACCAAGCTACATTCCAGTTTAGCCTCCATCTTGATGAACAGAACAATCTTACTTTGCTGAGAAACTGTTCAAATTAAACAGAAAACATCAACTTATTTTCTTTCCTCAATTTACCCCTGGGGTGGACAAGGTACTGAAGAATCCTCCAAATCAAGCAACTGCACAAGGGCAAAATCAACAAATAGCAATAGGTGGCAAAGCCCCCCTATACCACTGACCTGTGTGGTTCTGGCCTGCTAGGGGAACTAGGTTCCTCCATGAGTTTTCGTTTCCGCATTGTGGATTCTTCTGCTTTCTTCTCAGCTAGGGCCTACAAGGGAGGAGACCAGACTTCTGTGAACCCATCTTTTCTAGAGTGGCTCAAAGTTTAGGAAGGCCTAGCACAGTGGACTGCCTAATGAAGTCAACTTGTAATACCTCCATTTCACCAGGACATTCTGCCAGAGACATTGCCTCTGAAATCTAGATGAAGGGAGACATATAGTTTCATTTTTATAGATGTGATGGGACCTGAGCAGAAACTGAGGGGTAAAGGCAGAAGAGACAATAGTAGAAATTTTGAGGCAAGAAAGGCAGTTTTCATTTTGTATAGAAAAATCAAACTTGCTGGTCATAGTAGTGTACGACTTTAATCCCAGCACTCAGAGGCAGGTGGACCTCTGTGAGTCTACAAAGTGAGTTCTAGGACAGCCAGAACCGTTATACAGAGAAACCCTATCTAGAAAAACCAAAAGGAAAAAAAAATCAAAAAAGAAAGAAAGAAATAACAAACTTACCAGCTTAAGAGGAATATCATCTGCTGGTTTCCCTACAATGGGAAATTTGAACATCATAATGGATCAAGACTGTTTTACCTAGGTTTCTGAACTTTATTTCTGGGAACTGGATTGAGACAAAACTTCTGCCTGAGCCCATTCCTCTTCCGCTTGGTACCACTTTCCCTATATATTGTCCTACCCTGCTCCAGGACAACTGTGACCTCAAAACTGAAGTAGAGTTGATTCATGCCACACTTAACAGTGTGCTCTTCAAAAGAGGATGCATTTTACTGCATGACAAACTGGGTATCTTCTGTTGTTCTCCATCTAATTCCCTTGAGGCAGTATCTTTCACTCAATATTTCAGCTAGGCTGGCCAGCCAGTGAGCTCCCTGAATTTACCTGTCTCTACCAACCCTGCTATGAAAGGATTGACAGGTACATGTGGCCATGGACAATAGGGATTCAAACTCAGGCCCTTGTACTTGCATAACAAACATTATTACCCACTGAACCGTCTCTCTAGCCTTCTTTCATACTTTTCAAGTCAAACCAGCAGGTACTTCTTGAAGATTAATAATAGTGTTAAGATGTCAGAGAAGACAGGCATGACTTTTAATCCTTGTACTTGGGAGGCAGAAGCAGGTGGATCACTGTGAGTTCAAGGATAGCCTAGTTTATATAGTGAGCTCCAGGACAGTAAGGGCTACATAGTGGAACTCTGTCTCACAAACAAAAAGTGTTTATATAGGTTATCTTTCACTGAGCAATTACTCTCCAGCCAGATTATGTATTCCCACCCACCAATACTTATATATACAACCCCTGAAATCTGTGTCTCTTCACTATTCCACAAAGGGGACACAGGGAGATTAAATAATTTATCACAGTGCCCAAGCCAGAGGGTATTGAGCCAAGGTTGGAGGAAATGCTCCAGAGCTCTGTCCTTCATAGTTAGAACCCAGTTGGATAGACAGCTACATGGTATTCAGCTCTTGCTCCTGCCTATTTCCTTTTCTACCATCCCATTCTCATCATTCTACTTACCTGAAGGCATATTACCAGTAAACCATTTCATTTCCACATACAGAGTAAAAACAAATGGGTAGGGGGTCAAAATTATTTCTCCATGTTTAAATTTCAGGTGGGAAACTCTCTCCCACTTGCTTTTATCTGAGGATGCTGCTAAGGAAATGAGGAAGGAGACCAGCATGCATTCCTGGTAACTACTTGAAGGCTAAGACTTGAGCTTTCCTTTCTCTGACCTAACCTTCAAACTGCCTTTGGTCTCACTGCTTCCATTGGAATCTATGGTGTGACTTGTAGCTCATTAGGAGTTAGGAAAAGCCAGATGTGAATGTTGCATGCCTACAGTCACAACACTCAGGAGACCAAGGCAGGATTACTATGAATTCCATGATACCCTTGACATATACTGAGTAGCAGGCCAGTCATGGCTACCTAGTGGGAGCATCCATGGCTACTAACTCAAAAGCCCAAGTGTCAGGCATGATGTGCTTAAAGTCATTCTCAGATACACAGTGATTTCAAAGCCAGTCTGGGCTCTGTGAGAGACGGCCTTTCTTAAACACCAAACCCCATTTTTCTAGGGAAAAATAAGACCAGGCAAGGAAGGATACAGGGAAATACAATGAAGTGTTCTGTAACAAAGGGTTGCAGGTTGTCCATGTTTGCCAAAACTGCACGGATAGAATCCTGAAAAAGATATTTGAAGTTATTTTAATGCTGTTGAAGTTCAGCTAATCTTGCCATTTACATGGTCCACTCTTTTTAAACACCTATGTTCTGATTGTTGTTGCTTGTTTTTTTTTTTTTTTTTTTTTTTTTTTGAGTCAGGGGCTCATTGTGTAGCCCTGGCTGGCCTGCAACTCACTGTGTAGACAAGGCTGGCCTTAGACTCAGAGACATCAGCCACTATACCCAAATTTATATTAGTTTTCCTAATTAAAACATGTTAAGAGGTTGATTGTGGTATCAAAACAAACAAAACTGTTGGGGCTAGAGAAATGGCTCAGTGGTTCAGAGCACTGCTGCTCTTCCACAGGGCCCAGTTCCAGTTCCCAGAACTTAGGTGGCAGCTCACAACCATCTGTAACTCCAGTTCCAGGGAAGACACTACCTCTTCTGGCCTTCACGGGCACTAAGTAGTCACAGTGCACAGACATACAAGCAGGCAAAACACCCATACATATATAACAAAATAATAAAGTGTGTGTACTTGTGGAGTCGGGGCACACATGCTATAGAGGACAGTTTGGGAGCTCTCTCACTCCACCACGTGGGGCCTGGGAATAAAGTTCAAGTTGTCAGGCTTGGCAGGCAGCACCTTTACCTGCTGAGCCATCTCAATGGCCCTCACATACCTATGTTCTAATGAAACTGAACTATGTGCTGTTTCCTGGTCATATTTTCTGCTTCTCCACTTCAAGTATTTTACTGTTCCTTCTGCCTGAAATGCATTCTTTTATCAGCACCTGTCCAAAGGTACAGTTCAGAAGAGAGCCCTATAGAGAGCTGTCCCTGCAGTGGTAATGATTTGTTATCTCAAACTTTGCAACAGTTAGTGCAAGGCCTTGCACTGTATTCCACACATATGGTCCATTTTCCTTACTAAGTGAGTGTAAGGAAAGTGCTGGAAGTACTCCATCCTTCTGCTTTATTGGAGAATCTCTTCAGATCACAGTGGATGGTGCAGAGCATAACAGGTCTTTAACAATAAATATGAGTAAAGAATAATACAACAGTTATTGATATATATTTTTTTTGATATGATTTTGTTTTTGCTCAAGTCAAAGTCTTGCTTCAAACTTTTTAAAATTTTATTTTTATTTTATGTTTATTGGTGTTTTACCTGTATGTATGTCCATGTAAGTGTGTCAGAAGTCCTGGAACCAGAATTACAGACATGTGTGGGCTTCCATGTGGTTGCTGGGAATTGAACCTGGGTCCTCTGGAAGAACAGCCAGTGCTCTTAACTGCTAAGCCATCTCTCAAGACCTTGCTTTAAACTATTAATTGATTACTTCATCATTAATCTATTCTCTTTAGTCTAAATATTGTAACATTATAAAAAGATTGCTTGGATCACAGGTTGACTCAGTAGAGAAAAGCCCTTGTCACCAGGTCTGAGGACCTGAGTTTAATCCCTGATACCCACATGGTAGGAGAGAACCAACACCTGCAAGTTGTCCTCTGACACATGTGCATTGTGCTGCATACACATACATACACAAAATAAATGTTTTTTTTTTAAAGACATTTTCTATGGTGAGGGGTGGTGACACTCACCCTTAATCCTAGTACATGGAAGGCAGAGGTAGACAGATCTCTGAGTTTGAGGCCATCAAAATAGCAAAGCAGCCATACTAGTTAGCTATAGAAGCCAGACACTGGTGGTACACAACTTTAATCCCAGGACTCAGGATTAATAGGTAGATGGATCTCTGTTAGTTCAAGGCCACACTGACTACACGAAATTGATCCAATCTTAAAAGAAACAGCTCACACAAAGGTGATCTCAGCACCTGGGATCACATAGCTTTAATCCCAGCACTAGGGAAGTGGAGACAGGAGTGAGATGGCTGGGCAAAGAAAGGAATATAAGGAGGAGGAGGAGACAGGATCTGAGAGCCTTTTGCCTCTGAGGGTTTGTGGAGACAAGATTGCCATTTCAGCTGGGTAGAGGTAAGATCTACTGGCTTGGCTGCTTTGCTTCTCTGATCTCCAGTGGCTTTAATAAATCATAAACAATATATCACCACAGGCTGACCTCAAACTCACAGAGATCTACCTGTTTCTACCTCCAGAGTGCTAGGATTAAAGGCACATGCCACTACCACCCAGCAACCATTCTTTTTCTATGGAAAAAATTCTGATTTTAAGTTCCAACTTTTATAATTTTACTTTTTGGTGGAGGGTAGTCAAGATAGGGTTTTGTGTGTGTGTGTGTGTGTGTGTGTGTGTGTGTGTGTGTGTGTGTGTGTGTATCCCTGGCTGTCCTGTAACTCGATTTGTAGACCAGGCTGGCCTCAAACTCAGAGATCAGCCTGCCTCTGCCTCTTGAGTGCTGGGATTAAAGGCATATACCACCATTACCAGGTATAATTTTACTTTTGTAAGCATTATTTTCCTCAAGTTTGACCCTCAAGAAATAAACTGTCATTTAGTGTTGTATCTGCTATGCTAGGTGGTGTATGGCTTATAATAGTAGCTAATATCTATTATGATGGCAAAATTCTTTGGCATATACATGTGTTCTGTGGGTATGTGTAAGCATATAAAGGCCCAGAGATTGACACTGGGTGTCTTCCTCCATCTCTCCACCTTAGTTTTAGACACAGGTTATTCACTGCACCTGGAGCCCATTGATTTGACCAGGTTAGCCAGCCTATGAGCTCTAGGGATCCAATGTCTCTGCCTCCCTGGTCCTGGGGTCACAGAGTACTGACCTCAGCTTTTATGGGTGCTGAGGATCTGAACTCAGGTCCTCATGCTTTTGTGGTAGGCACTTTTCCATCCTCTAGAGCTGACATTTTGAATTATTAGGCTACACAAATCCTCAGTATTTCCTAAAGCAATAAAAGAGAATGATAACATTTGTCTCTGAAACTAGTAAGAAATGAAAGAGAACGTAGGGCTTGAGATGGCTATGACAAAGAGCATGGGCTGTTCTTCTAGAGGACCCTGGTTTATTTCCAGCACTCACATGGCTGCTCACAACCTGCAACTCTAGACACAAAGAACCCAGCACCATCTTTTTTGCCTCTGCAAGCACTGGGCTCATGGGTGTTACACATACATGCAAACAAGCAAAACAGCCTCATAAATAAATAAATATTTGTAAAAGTGAAAGAAAAACATATAAAAATATTTTGCTGCTAGACATGGTGGCACGTAATCACAGCATTTGGGAGGCTAAGGCAGGAGAAGGATTTTGAATTCAGGGCCCACCTAGGCTTCAGAGTGAGATCTTGTCTTAAAAATTCTTTTTAAAAAATACTTTACATCCTCTATCAATGGAACTATGTCCTAGACCCTCAAGTAACTTCATTTGCACTAATTCCTATGTAGTATGACAAAAGGCTGGGTTCACTATAAAACTGTTAGGTAGTATTATTGAAATGTCCTGTTGCATGTATTATTCTATAACAGAATTTAAATGTAACCCACCAAATTCAAATAAATCTTATTTAACTATTAAAAAAGACTTTGCATCAGCCAGGTGGTAGTGAAGTAGTGATGTACATCTTTAATCCCAGCACTGGGAGACTGAAACAGGCAGATCTCTGTGAGTTTGAGGCCAGCCTGGTCCACAGAGCCAGTTCCAGGCTAGCTAGGACTGTTAAACACAGGGAAACCCTGTCCTGAAAACAAAACAACAACAAACTTTGCTGCTGGGCATTATGGTGCAAGCCTTTAATTCCAGTACTTGGAAAGCTGAAACAGGAAAATTGCCATTAGTTTCAGGTTATGTCTAACAAGGGCTACTACCAAATAAGATCTTGTCCCCCAAACCAAGAAAAGGGGCTAGAGAGATGGTTCAGCAGTTCAGAGCTCTGACTGCTCTTCCAGAGGAACAGGGTTCAATTCCCAGCACTGATATGATGGTCTCACAAGCATCTGTAACTCTAGTCCCAAGAAATCTAATGTCCTTTTTTGGACACGTGTGTACACGTGGTACACAGATTTACATGCAAGCAAAGTACCCATATACACAAAATAAAAAAAACTAAAATAAAAAAGAGCTGGGGATACAACTTAGGTGGTAGTCTTTACTAAGTATGCATGAGAAATCCTAGGTTCAATCTCTAGCACTGTACAAACCAGGTGTGGTGATATACACCTATAATCCTAGGCAGGAGGATCAGGAGTTCAAGAACATCCTTAGATATATAGGCTAGCCTGGGATATATGAGACCTTGTTGCAAAAAAAAAAAAAAAAGGAACACACATGCACTCACAAATGTGTGCAAAGGACCAACAGTGGAGGCTCATGCTTACAGTCCCAGTACTTGGGAGGCAGAAACAAAAGAATCTCTGGAAGTTCAAAGCTAGCTTGTTCTATACAAGTTCCAGGCCAGGCAGTAATGTATAGTGAAATCCTGTGTCTAAAAATAAAGGGAAGCCAAAACAAATAAAAAAAGCAGCTTTTGAACTTTAATATGCACATAAATGTATGCAAATGTTTTCTAGCCTGGATGTGTGGCAGGCATTGGACACATCTGTTTGAAATCCATACCATAATCTTGGAAACAAGTTAACCTCATTTGACAGGTGAAGGGACAGACTGGGATACAGGACCAGGAGCCCAGAACTACAACTGCTGGCCCAATGCTTTCACCAGTTACAAAGCTGTATCCCTGCTCAGTCTTCTTTCTGGAAATCTCTAACAAGCAGAGCTGTGTGGAAAAGGAATGAACTTGAACTTGGAACAAAGCAATGGCAAATGTTTCCAATTAAAATGAAGACACAGCCACTTGTCAATGTATTTACTGCCCAGTTTCCTGAACGTCAAACACCAGGCGGTGGTTAGGATCGTGGCATTCCCAGAGCCCTGGAAGGCAGCAGTCCTCCAGAAGCTTCTCTGTGCCAACTGCTACAACAGAGCTGCCCTGTCTGGGAACCCTCATGGAAACAAACAGCAACCAGTCTCAAAGGCGCTCATACTTCATTGAGAATTGAAAAAGGATATGGGCTTTAACATTCCCTGGAAAAATTGGCTTCTTTGCATGGAGACACAAATTTCCAGGTAGAGTTTATGATTCGGTTTGTGGGAAATAATAGAAGTTTGGGTGTGAATTCCTTCTTGGTTTAAGGGATAAATAATTTCTTCAGAAATTGTCTGATTTTTTTTTCCTACCTCCAGCTCCTGGATGATGACTTCCTTGTTCTCTATTTCTTCTCCTCTAGAAAGTAAGCAGATAGGTATCATAAGACAGCAAGCCCTGTCCAACATCTGCTCTGTGACACTAAAAGAAACCAGATACATTACAGTCTGGCTGACCTGCTCACCTTACATGCTGTGGTTTGAGCATTAATTGCCTACTCCAGTCTTCTCTGTTAAACATCCAAGATGTAATGGTTAATAGTTTTTTAGAGCATATTTTTAAAAGTCTATTAGGTTGGAGGGGTTCAGAGCATCGAACCTAGGGCTTTGTATAACTAGTGCAAAGACTCTACTTCCAAGCCACACGTTAAGCTCACCATTTAAAGTTATTTGAATTGCTAAGTATGGTGGCACATACCTGTAATCCTAGTACCTGAGGGGTAGAAGCAGATGGATCAGGAGTTCAAGACTAGACTCAGCTACATATTGAATATATCTGGCATAGGCTGCAAGAAACCCTGTCTCAAAAAAATTGTTTTAACTGAAACAAAATATTATGAGACTTCAGGAGATTTCTTTCTTCTTTCCTAAGACAGAGTCCTACTGTATGCATAGCTCTGGTTATCCACAAACTCACTCTGAGTACCAGATTGGCCTTAAACTCAGAGATCTGCTTGCTTTCTGCCTCCCAAGTGCTGGGAATTTTAAAAATTAATTTATTTAAAATTTTATTCTATGTGCATTGGTGTGAAGGTGTCAGATCCCCTGGAACTGGAGTTACAGACAGTTGTGAGCTGCTATGTGGGTATTGGAATTAAACCCAAATTAAACCTAAGTCCTCTGGAAAAACAGCTAAGCCCATCGCTTTAGCCCCCAAATGCTTGGATTTAAGAAGTATAACACCACACTGGACTTCATCATTTTATCCCCCCCACCACCAAAACAGGGTTTCTCGGTTTCTGAGACAGTGTAGACAGCATAGCTTTGGAGCCTGTCCTGGAACTTACTTTATAGACCAGACTGGCCTCAAACTTACAAAGATTTAATTTTTTTTAAAGTTACATTTTTTTCCTATTTTTTATTTTATGTGTATGGGTATTTCATCTGCAAGCATATCTATGTACCACATGTGTGAAATACCCACATATGGGAAGAGGGCATTGGATCTCCTTAGGTTTGAGTTACAACTGTAATTGCTTGTGGGTGATAGTAATTGAACCCTGGTCCTGTGTAAGAGCAGCCAATGCTCTCAACCACTGAGCCATCTGTGTAGTCTCCCATCACTTTTAAAGTAAGTGTGATGGCTGTTCCTGGTTGCCAGCTTGACTACATCTGGAATTAATCAAAACCTAAGTGGGTGGGTACATCTGTGAGGCATTTCTTAATTATATCATTTGAGGTGAGAAGATCCACTTTTTTGGTTTTTTTGGTTTTTTGTTTCTCTGTGGCTTTGGAGCTTGTCCTGGAACTAGCTCTTGTAGACCAGGCTGGTCTAGAAATCACAGAGATCCACCTGCCTCTGCCTCCTCAGTGCTGGGACTAAAGGTGTGTACCACCAATACCTGGCTTCAAGAAGATCCACTTTTAATCCACATCTTTTGAATGGGCAGGTACACTTTAATCTGGGCCACACCTTTGCCGGCAGCCTATATAAAGGACATGGAAGAAGGAAGCTTGCTGTCTTTGCCTGCTTGTTCTCATTGTTGCTGTCAAGTCCATTCCTTCACTGGCTTTAGAACCTACTTCTTCAAGATTCAGGTATACACTAAAGACCAGCTGAGACATCCAGGATCGTGGGATGAACAACTACTGAGTTCTTTGACCTTCTTCTATTAGTAGACAGCCTGTAAGCCATCCTAATAAATCCCCTTCCTCCATATATATATGAATGTGTATATATGTATGTATATATATATTGTATACAGTTTCTGTCCCCTTAGAGAACACTGACAGCAAAACAAGAAGCACTGAGGAAAACTATTTGTGTGACACTTGACATTGCACACTGAATGAGCTGTTCTTTTCATGCAATAATAGCTTATTTAAATAATTAGCTAATAAACAAATTTTTATTCAGCTGTGAGGGTAACAGACATTTTCTCAAAAATGAATAAAGTGAACATGTCAAATCAAGGAAAAGAACTGCCATTATTTGTTACCAATAATAAATTTTGGGCTTTTGAGAGAGAATTTTGAAAAAATTATCTTCTTATCCTCCCAAAGATAGTTTTTCTGCATAACAGCCCTAGCTGTCCTGGAACTCACTGTGTAGACCAGGTTGGCCTCAAACTCGCAGAGATCCACCTGCCTCTGCCTCCCAAGTGCGGTATTAAAGGCATTTGCTACCACTGCCCAGACTAATAAATCTTAAAAAAAAAAAATACAAAAATATAAAAACCTGAGCATGGTGGTGTATACTTTTTTTTTTTTTTTTGAGACAGGCTATCCTGAAACTTACTCTGTAGGCCAGGCTACATCTCCCGAGTGCTGGGGTCAAAGGCATGCACCACTGCTGCCTGGTGGTAGTGTATACTTTTGATTCCAGCATCCAGGGGCTAAAAGGAGAGGACCATAAGTTTGGGCCAGGGCTACACAGCAAGACCCATCTCAAAACAGAACCATAAGCAAAACAACAAAAAAGTAAGGTTTGAAAATATGAATCTAACTTGGTTATTTTTACAATTGTTTTGGCTCTTTAAAGTCCCTTGAAATTTGATATGAATTTTAGGGTAGCTTCTCCATTTCTGAATGAAACGTCACTTGCATTTTGACTGAAATGACTCTAAATTTGTAGGTCATTTGGTGTTTTAAGCTGTGAACACAAGATTCTTATTAAGTCTTTTATTTTTGGGTGCCAGAAACTAAGCCCAGTGTTGCATGTAAGGTAAGTATTCTTAACCGGAGCTACAACTTCAGCCAAATGAGATTTTAATTTCTTTCAGCAATAATTTATACTTCTCAATGTATACGTTATTGTGAGGTTCTTTGATGTTTTTGACATTATTTTTTATGGGGAATTGATTTTCTTTTTAAACCTTTTTCTTTTTCTTTAACAATTTTTTGTATGTACACATACATATGTGTTCTTTAGGGTTTCTATGAATAAGATCATATCATCTTCAAATCAAGATACTTTTGATTCTTGCCAACTTGTATACTTTGTTTTTCTTGTCCAAGTGCTTTGGCTAAAATTCCAGTGTGAAGTTGAATACAAGTGGAAAAGTGGATGTTCTGAGGGTTTTTTTTTCTTTTTTACTTTAAAAAATATTTTCTTAATGAATAATAATAGTTTTTGTTATTTTATTTATTTTTGAGACAGGGTTTCACTATGTAGCCTTGGTTAGCAAGGAACTGATTCCACAGACCAGGCTGGCCTTGAACTTATAGAGATCCATCAGCCTCTGAAAGATTTATTTTTAATTATGTGCATATATATGTGTGTCTGTGTGGGTGTATAGAAGTGTGTGGGTGCTCTCAGAAACAAGAGATGTCATATCCCCAGGAGCTATAGTCACAGGCACTTGTAAGACACCTGACTTGTGTTCTGGGAATTTTTTTATTTTGCTTTGTTTTTTAAGACAGAGTTTCTCTGTATAGTCCTGGATGTCCTGGAACTTGCTCTGTAGACCAGGCTGGCCTTGAACTCAGAGGTCTGCCTGTCTCTGCCTCCTGAGTTCTGGGATTAAAGGTGTGCACAAATACTGCCCAGCTGTGTTCTGGAAAATCTTATTTGGGTCCTTTGGGAGAGTAATACATACTCATCTCTCCAGGCCCTATTTTTATTTTATGTGTATGAGCGTTTTGCTTGTATGTGTGTCTGTGAACCACATGCATGTATGTGGTTTGAACCACATGCATGTATGTGGTTTCTGCGGAGGCTAGGCTAGAAGGCCATCAGATCCCTTGGAACTAAAGTTACAGAAGTCCCCACATAGGTTCAGGAAACAACCAGAATCTGGAAGTCAATGTTCTTAACTGACAAGTAATTTCTCCAGACCTATTTATAATTTATTTTTTGTTTGTTTATTGTTGTTTTGAGACAAGACATATTGTTCCTACTTTAGGCATTTTTATCAATAACAAGCATAATGAATACTAAGCAGCTGAGAAAGCCTGACCAGGCAGAGATGATGAGCTGGAGGAATGAACTTGCCTGTGCTAACATGAGCTATTATCCTGCTTTTCAAGTTACCTGATACTGTCGCCGTATCTGATTTTGAACTTATAAACACTGGGTCCTGCATGAAGGAACCTTGTCTCTGGAAATGGGTAGGTGAATGGTTTTAAACTCATTGTTTCTTGATGGTAGCCTAAAAAAAGTAGAAATATTAATCAGTAAAAAGCTAAAGATAACTCTTTAAATATAGGAAAGGAACCCTGTCAGTCTGCAGAATCTCTTGAAGAGTAAATGTTCAACACAGTACCAGTGCCATGAACCAGGCTCATTTGGCACTGTGACTTTTTATACAGACCCTTCTATCTATACAGTGAAGATACATGGTGTGTTGGACCTACATCTAGATAAAAGCAAAAAGACAACATCCAAGTTTGAGTTTATGGCTGTGCTGGTTAGGTGCGTTTTTATTTGTTTGCTTTGTTAAGTTGACATAACCAAGAATCATGTGGAAATGGGACCCTCAACTGAGGAAATGCTAACATCAGATTGGCCTGTGGGGAAGTCTGTGGGGCACTGTCTTGGTTAGTAGTGACCGATATGGGAGGACCCAGCCCACTGTGGGAAGTGCCACGTCTCCACAGGTGGTCCTGGGTTGTATGAGGAAAGTAGGCTGAGCAAGCCAGGTGGAACAATACAGTAGATCAGCCTCAATGGTCTCTGCCTCAATTTCTGCTTTGGCTTCCCCTGATGATGGACTGTAACCTCTAAGCCAGATAGACCCCCTTTTCTCCAATTTGCTTTTGGTCATGGAGACTTATTGAACTAATAGAAAACAAACCAAGACAGCTCACATTTGGCATGAGCTCAGGGATAAAAATCAAGGACACTATGATTCTCTAAATTACTAGGGCTTTTCTGTGCCTCACTTCACTTTAGAGGTAATAAACACTGCAGTTCCTTGGCCTTTGCATGCAGAACTTTAAATAATAATTAGGTCCACAGTTTCTAAAGATCAAAGTTTCCTATATACAACATTGATTATAGAAGCAACTGATAAACAGAATAGGCACAAAAGAGAATCTTTGTTTGAATCTCAGCCCTAATGTCCCTACTTGGTTTCTGAATGCCAGTCTCTCCTCTCTTCTCTCCACCTTTCCTTTGGTGGAACCCACAGAGATCTGTTTGCCTCTGCCTCCCTAGTGCTGGGATTAAAGTTGTCCACCACCGGCCTCCAAGTTATTTGTAACCCAGGTTGGCCTGGAACAATGTAACCTAGGCTGCCTTCAAATTTATGTCAATCCTCCACCCTCAAGCTTGAGCCTTAGTTTTCTTATTACATAGTAACAACAGTTGTTTTGCTTTCTGAACAGTGTCCTATGTAGTTCAGGCTGGCCTTGAACACCCTATGTACTGGAGGATGACCTTGAACTGATCCTCAATCCAGTAACTCCCAAGGGCTGGGAAAATAGGATTTTTGTTGTTTTGTTTTGTTTTGAAGATGGGTCTTGGTATGTTACCTAGTCTGGCCCTGTCTTAATTAGGGTTTCCACTGCTGCAACAAAATACCATGACCAAAAAGTAAGTTGGGGAGGAAAGGGTTTATTAGGCTTATATATAACTTCAGCATTGCTGTTCATCACTGATGAAAGTCAGGACAGGAACTCAAATAGGCAGTAGTTGATGCAAAGACCACAAAGGAGAGCCGCTTAGTGCCTTGCTTCCCATGGCTTGCTCAGCCTACCTTCTTATGTAACCCAGGACCAGCAGTCCAGGGATGGCACCACCTTTGATCTCTAAATGAGAAAACATCTTACAACTGGATCTTATTGAGACATTTCCTCAGCTGAGGCTCCTTTCTCTCTGATGATTCTATAGTGCATGTCAAATTGACACACAAAACCAGTCAGTATAGGACCAGAGCTACTGAGCTCTACCAATCTTCCTACCTCAGCCTTCTCAAACTTGGGACAACAGGGTATGTCACAGTGACCAGATAACAACTACTTTTTCTACACCCTATACCAAGTGCTTAATATGTATTATCTCTCTTGTCACAAGCCTATGCCACAAGTAGCATAAACTTGACACACTAGGAAACTGAAGCATTACTGAAGGAGTATATGTCCATCAACCACTCTCTTAGCCTCACTTCCAGGTATAGAGAGGAAGAAACCAATATAATATGTATAAAATAATTTTGTAAGCAGTAAAATATGTGATATTCATACAAAATTTTATTATTTATTTTCTTATTTGGTTATTTAAAACAGGGTTTTTATATGAATTCCAGCAATGCCTTGAGCTCATTAATGTGGCTAATGTGACCCAGACATGCCTCTCATTCACAGCAATCCTCCTGCCTCAGTATCTCAGAGTGCTGGGATTACAGGTATGTGCCATCACATTCTGTACTATTTTCGTTATTTTCTTCCTCTTATTATCTTACACCATTTCTATTCAGCAGCAGAAATCTTGTATGGCAGGATCATAAAAACTTCCAAAGAGATGGAAGTTCCTGAAATTTCCGAAGTTCAAGTCTGGCTGTCAGTAAGGAGATACCAGCTGTTTGGGAATACAAAGAGAGGTGGCTGGAGCAGGGACTATTTAGGCTAGACTTTCAGTCAAAAATAAAAAGCAAGTGTTGCCAACTGCAAAGTTACCAGATGGAAAATGCTATGAATATGGGGGGGGTAGTGGTGAATGTCCCTTGCCTAGAGCATGACAGGAATCCAAGGTAAGGCTGATGAGTTCTGGTTACAGATGATTTTTTCTAAGTAGCAGGAAGCCCACCTGGAGAGGCTTAGGTTGCTGCCATAGAAACTCAGTTATTCACCTAGTTGTAGATTCAGTAACATCCTCATAACTTAAGAGCTGGGGGCACCTGAGCAAAAGAAAGGACATTTCCTAAAAATGACTATCCAAAGAGGAAACTCCATGTGCTGCACCACAGCTGGCTGGCTGGCTGGCTGAAAAAAAGAAAACAAGTAGGGCGTTGGTGGTACATGCTTTAGTCCCAGCACTCGGGAGGCAGAGGCAGGCAGATCTCTGTGAGTTCGAGGCCAGCCTGGTCTACGAAGAGAGTTCCAGGACCGCCTCCAAAATACACAAAGAAACCCTGTCTCAAAAAAACAAAATAAATAAATAAATAAATAAATAAATAGAAAGAAAAACAACTCTCTTCTAGCTGAGGCCTGTTCCTATTAGCTGTTGGCTGCCTGCTTTAGATACAAACATTATACACTAACTACCTCATTTGAAGATAAACATTAGACAGCGTCATCCAAGACAATCACAGGGGAGTGGTGGCTCAAGGACTTCACAGGGATATTTTCCAACTTTGACTACTGTAGTCATGGTGACACTGGGTGCCAGTAATAATTACTAAATTGATGGGACCTTATAGAATAAAGGTCAGACTCTGAACCTACTTGGTGGCGACTAGTCATGAAGGAAGGAAACAAAGGAAGAAAGGTCACAGGAAGTATGGCATTGTGCAAAAGACACAGGAGATGAGATCAGGAGACCACGTCTTGACTTGTTTTGGTTTTTTTTCCCCTCAAATAGGGTCTCAGTATATAGCCCAGGCCGGCCTGGGGGGCCCTTGGTGGCCCAGGCAGGCCCCCGCCCCGAGGGCCCTTGCTGGCCCGGCCGGGATTCAAAATCCTCCTGCCTTGGCTTCCCAAGTGTTGGAACTAAAACACAGTCACTAAACATATCTAGTGGAAAATTTCTCTACAACATTGGAGAATAGAGTGTCTATATTTATTCAACATATGTTTACACAGCAAACCTAATCTGGCAGGCCATTGAGACCACAAATGAGTGTGGACAACAATGTAGGGGAATCCTATTAATGTAAAAACCCAGATTTCAGGATTAAGGTCAAGGGCATATGTACTTTCTCCTCTTTCCAAAGTCCTTGGTAGTCTCAAGAGATCTTCCCATTATCACTGCAGTAGTTCAGAATCTCTGAAAGCCTGTCACAACCCTTTTGGGAGTAGAACAACCCATTCACAGGGGTCACATAACATATCCTGCATATCAGATGTTTACATTATGATTCATAACAGTAACACGATTATAGTTATGCAGTAGCAACGAAAACGATTTTTTTTGGTTGGGGGTCACCACAACATGGGAAACTGTATTAAAGAGTCCCAATATAAGACACTTACAGTTCAAAGTACATAATTCCAGAGGGCATTGGAGGGAAGCAACTTCACCAAAGGAGGAAATGTCTTTCATGGTCACATAGTCCTATATGGAAGCAGGCTTAGGCCTAATTGCTAAGAGTATGGTTTCTTTGGTCCATGCAATTGTCACTATAGCCTATCATCATGTAGTCATTTTATTAAACTAAATCCCTGGGTACTCTTTTGACTCAGGTAACTCTAGGCAAACTCATTCTGGATTCAAATACATCAAGCCAAAATATAAACTTTTCTGATTAGCGGTTATTAAGATTATAATTTGGGGTATGAAGAGTTTAACCATATTTCTCTTCAAGATGCACTTCCTCCACCCAAGACATAGTTTCTCTGTGTAACAGCTCTGGATGTCCTGGAACTCACTTTGTAGGCCAGGCTGGTCTTGAAATCACAGAGATCCACGTCTTTGCCTCCTGAGTGCTGGGATTTAAGGTGAGGGACACCACTGCCTGGCTCCAAGATATATTTTTTCAGTGCTGGACATGGTGAATGGTACATATCTTTATCTCCATAGAGGCAAGATATCCATGAGTTTGACACCAGCCTGGTCTAAATAATGAGTTCCAGGATAGCCAAGCTTAAAGAGACCTTGTCTCAACAAAACAAAAACCTATTTTCAAAGGAAACTGTTTCTTCTACTTGTAGACTAATCATGCCGATTAATGAGAGGAGGCACACATAAATGCTCACTGGATAGTCAGCAAAAAAGTCTTTTTAATCCTAGTACTCAGAGCAAAGTCATGCAAATTTCTGTGATTTTGAGGCTAGCCCCATCTACAAATAGAGTTCCAGGACAGCTGTTAGTATTCAGGCATCTGTACTGCCTTGCCTTTGGTGTCCTGACAGGCTAGGTCCTCAGCTGCAGCCACTGTCTCTCTTCTCCCTGTCTTCCCCCACTTTTTTTTTAATGTAATTTATTTTTTATTTTTATTTTACATATCGATCCCAGTTCCCTCTCCCTCCCTCCCTCTTCCCCCACTT